CAGATAAAAGATATATACTCACACATATATATATATATATATATATATATATATATATATATATATATATATATATATATATATTAATTAAAACACATTTTACCCGCGCACGACGATGCGACAAAATAGGTGTCCTCCCTAGGCAAAATTGACGTTCCGGACGCGTTGGCGCAGTCCGTTTCGTCATCCGGGGTCGCTCGGACGACGTCGTCGACGGTCGGGTCAAAAACGCGTCGAAATTCAAATTTCACAAAAATATTGACCCGCGATCGATTGTTTCAAAAATTTCATTCGAGTCTTCGACGGGTAACAGTGCAAGCGATGTGAATTATGGCGATCGGACGTGTTGGCTCTCCGAATTGCGAAGTTTGTGCGCGCGGGAGTGCGAATTGTGCAGAAGGCCACCCTAAGGCTCAAAAAGGTCCTATAGGGATCCCTTTTGGGTTTCCTCATGTTGGTTTCACCCTTCTAAATGCTAGAAGTCGATACCACACACTTGGAACCACAAAAGAGGACGGAAATAGGTCAAATTACAATGAGGCGAGCACCACTTCTAAGGTTCTAAGATAGTCAAAGGGAGATCCCTAAGGCTAGATCCTAAACCCTAAGAGGAAGACTAGACCTCACTAAAAATGAGGTCAACACATCCATAGGGAGGATTTCAGTGACGAAGAAGAAAGGCCACGATGCTTTGGAATCCAATATCAGAGGTGATCGAGAGAGGAGCCCACATATGGAGAATAGGGATTTCAGAATAAAGGTAGATCTACCAGAGTTCGATGGAGGTATAGTTCTAGATAATTTAATCGAATGAGTACAATCGGTTGAAAGAATCTTTGAGTACAATGAGGTGCCAAAAGATAAAAAGGTGAAGCTTGCAATTATCAAATTGAGAAAGAGCACCTTCTTGTTGTGGGACAACTTGTAGAGGCAAGGGAAGAGAGAAGACAACAACAATATTACTAAGGGGGAGAAGATGTGGAAGACGATGCTGAGAAAATACCTAATTTCTCATTATCGTCAGAATATATTTTTGAGACTCCACCACTTGCAGTAGAGAGAACAATCACTGGAGGAGTTCACGACGTAGTTTGACCAGTTGCAGATGAAATGTGATTTGTTTGACCTAGAAGAACACACCATAACTCGTTATCTGAGGGGCCTGAAGCTTGCTATTGACAATGTGGTGCAGTTGGAGCTTTATTGGCACTTGAAGATGTCCGGACCTTCACATTGAAAGTGAAAAGACAGCAAAAAGAAAACGAACAATTATTACCGATCAGGCAGCCACCCACTGTTGGAGACATCAGTAGGAGCACACCTCAGGGAGTAGAGAAAAATGATTTGGATAATGATAGTCACCCCTAGTCAGAAAAAGCTTGAGAAGAGTAGCACACCTAATACAGTCTTCGCCAGAAAATGCTCCAAATGTCATGAATTTGGGCTCATCGCTTCCAGTTGCCCGATGAGCCAGGTTGTGTATTTGACCGAGCCGGGCGTCGCGGAGGAGATTAGCGAAGAGGAGACAGCTGAGGAATAAGGTGATGAGCATCATCTTTCACCTGATGAGAGCGAGATGCTCGTGGTTCAACGGGCTCTACAGATCGAGGATACGAGGGATTCGTCGTGGCTTCGTCGCACTGTGAATGGGAAGGTATGTGGTCTCCTCATCGATGCAGGGAGCAGTGAGAACGAGTCATCTACACATGGTAGAGAAGTTGGGCCGCATGACTCAGAGACTCTTGGGCCTTGTTCTCTGACGTGGCTGAAGAAGGAAAAGATCAACATTGACTGGAGGTGCCTAGTGGATTTTCGATTGGAAGCTAGCTGCAGGATTAGGTGTGGTGCGACGTTATCCCTATAGATGTCTGTCATGTTTTATTGGGGAGACCATTGCAATTTGACTATGGTACTCAACACAACAGATTTAGAAATACTTTCACCTTCACCAAGGAGAGGAAACACATCCTAATTCCTTTAGCAGAGCCCGAGATTATCAGTGAAACCAGTTTTGATGACGACACACGATGATAGGATTGAGACACCAGTTCCAGACTTGAGACAAGCACGATAGAGAGCATTTTCATAATTAATGATCGATACCTTACCACTAGCACTACCACCATTCAGAGAGGTTCGAGCTACCCTCACTTTGGATCAGGTTGAGCTGACCAGGGATTACTTTGGGAGTATTCAACAACTTAGGCGAGACACATAGATTGAGTTTTGTTCAACAGGAAACACCCAGGAGAGCGGATCGATAGGGATGTATGCTGGCAAGTGGAGGAAAATCCTCAGGTGCTTTGGGAGGCAGTATAGCCCCTAGTGGGATCTAAGTATTGCTAGGATTGAAGACGAAGAACCATAAGCTTCGAGAAATGATGTTGAAGCTCCCCCAACCTTGGGAGACGGACATGGGGGACTTAGGGGAGGTCTGGCTTGACTGAACAGGCAGGAAAAGTATCACAGTTTAGCAGGAGATTGGACTAGCCCCTCCTCCCTTTTTCATTGGGCGGCAACTATTCCTCCCCTCCTTTTATATTTTCCTGCATATTCTGATTTAAGAATTTTGTCCAGATGGCTGTGGGCGACTGTTTTTCCTTTAGGGTTGTATCCAAAGGTGAAAATGTGCTTTGTTTGTAACTCATCTGCGGTGGTGATCTTCTCCAAAAGTTTGAGGGGGTGCTGCGGCTATAACTTGATCCCGTTGTGATACTTATCTTCCCCAACTTCCCTCTACAGTCCCTTCTTCTCTGGTTTCTAGCCACCACCCTCCAAGATTTCTCCACCTTCATGCTATGCTGCTAACCGCTCTCCAGACATCCTGTTAGCCGCCAACCCTCCCCCTACCCTCTAGCTGAGCAGTAACCCCCTACCTGCACCCAGCACAGCCGTCCCTCTCTTCTGAATTCATCCAGCTTCCTGTACATGTAATTCCGCAGCCCTGCTCCTTCCGTCCCCTCATGCTCACAGCTCCCTCTTAGCCGTGATTCATACAGCAGCCCCAAAACCCTTCACCTGTTACGGTCCAACCACAAACCACTACCCCTCTTGCTGACCCCTGACCATAACCCTAGCTGCACTCCATCTGGCTACTGACCGTCCCAACCCTCTCACAGCTGTCCACTGGTCGTCTCGCCTCGCCCTAGCCTGAGAGTCGTGTTGTGTTGTATTTCCTTACCTTGTTTTGAGTCTTAATTATAACCCTACTGTTTTGGCGTAATACAATATATTATCTTATCGTTTTTGGGTTAACTCATGTATCAGATAATTTATCGTAATAGTTAAAGTGATTGAATGGGTGATTTCAGCTTTTTCTCAGAGTGGCGATAAGCATATGCTAAGGTCTTCATCAAAATTGGTATTGGGTATAGTTTTTGGATAAAGGCCCAACTGCTTCCAATTACATTATTTTGTCTAGGATAATTTACAATATCCCAGTACAATTTTTCTTGAGGGTTCCCGTTTAAAAAAAAAAGAAGTTGTTTTTAATCTTATTTTTCAAATGCTTTGTACACACACATTGCTTGACTTAATGATCTAGTTAGAGTAAGTATGACAATATATAGCTCATGGACACTAACATGTTTTCCGCCAGCACTTATCGAAATAAATGCTGGGCGAAATATACCATGGTTTGGTTGGAATCATGGATTGCAGACTTGATTTTTGCTGAAGGCATGAATTTATACTATTTTACATTTTCTTGTTTTCCAACACCGTAGGCATGGAAAGGGTTTTTGAATTCAAACAAATTGTAGCGCTCATTCAAAAATAATAGACTAGAGTAGAAGTATGTAGTTTTTTTTTTTTTCTGATTTTACCGACTTGTGTCAAGTATGATATATGCTGATCATGACAATGGCCTTGCACATCTAAGGCTGAAATACATAATTAGAAATGACGAATCATTTCTTGGATAATTTGCTGGATATTACTGAGTTGTTTGAACTCAAGATATATAAAATTGTGGTTTTGAGTTCATCTAAATAATCTCTTATAAAGAATTGCATGAATTGTTCATTTGTATTTCATTCATTTTTAATTTTTTTCCTAGATGATGGTTCATCTTTATGCTGTTGTTGGGCTGAAGCAGAGAGAGCAAAAATGTTGCTTAGATTAGATGAAATTTCATGCCATCCATTCTTCCAATGTGGTGCCGATTCAGTAAACAAAAGTTGTAGATATCATGAAACAATTGGTTATCAGTTGGATGGCATGCTAAGAAAGCACCAAAAGATTATTGTGAAAAACTATAGAGCAGTATCAGATGTTTCGTCTTTGGATTTTATGTTTCATGGTGATTCCAGCCAAATGTTAAGCAGTGCAGAGGAGCGCCTTCTCAGATTAGTCATCGACAATGCTTGTCAGGGGTCAACTTTTGTAAGTATTTATCTGACTTTCCTCTTTTATGTACATTAATATATTATATTTAGTTCTCTTCATACACAATATGATCAATAAATGCCATTATTCTCTATGGAAAAAGTCTGGCTGGCTGGTCCATGGGCCTGTAACTGCTCTTAGTAGGCTTTGGCAAAACATCCAAGCCCAAGGGTTTTCGGCTTAGTATACCTCTAACGCTTACATAGTCTGTTTGTTATGTTTCCTTATTTTTGCCTTCACCTTCTATTCTCCATCCAATGAATGTCTTTTGCTCTCTTATTTTATTCACTATTTCCCCTTGGATTTTGGTAAGACATTTCGTTTTGCACATTTTTACTTTCTGGTTTCAATGTTTGACATTTGGTAATCGAAGGATAACACCATTCTCACCTTCTCTATGTTTGCATGAGCTGTTATTGCCGAGAATCCTGGGCATGGCAATTGGCATATTTAGCAGCAATGCTTTCAAAACTTTTCTCAAGTTTGTTCTCATCTTGTTGCAGAATATTATAGGTCGTTTGATGACAATTGGCTTATTCAGCAGCAATGCTTTCAAAACTTTTCTTAAGTTTGTTCTCATCTTGTTGCAGAATTTTATTGGTCGTTTGGTGGCAATTGACATATTTAGCAGCAGTGATTTCAAAACTTTTCTTAAGTTTGTTCTCATCTTGTTGCAGAATATTATTGGTCGTTTGATGGATTCAAATGCATTGGATTTTTTGGATAGAGAATGTAAGGATTTGCAAGATATAGTACGTCAATTACCTAACATTTGGGCTGCAGAAGTTCAGCACATTAATTCCCTTAAAGAAGCTAGAAATTTGCTTGATGAGCTTAAACATTGATATGCTCACACATTTGAAATTCAAGTATTACCATATGAGGACAAAACTATTACATTGTGATCGTCAACTATTGATTCTTATAACTGAATATTGGAAATTCCAAATTAAGGAATGTTTTTAAGGATGCTATGAACTGACGCTAGTTGACAGCAGTTCATTCATTGTTGCTGTATGAATATATAAGATAAACTGGCCAGAATTCTATGGATCTACTCTGTGAGTTCCCTTGTCCTTACCGTCTCTATACTTTGTGCATACCATATTCTAGGATGCTGATTAAATTCTTCTTTAATTTGTTTATGGAGATCGTTTAATGGTGCATTTCAGGAGAATGAATGACCACCTGACAAATTGTGTTCTTAGTAAGGGAATCTCATAATGTTCTGAGCAAGTGAAAATTTCTTTCATATTCATAGATCGTGTTTCACAAGGTTTGTAGTTTTAAATGTTCACGTATGGTTATTTAGAGATTTCTTTAATTGCTACTATAAAGATAAATTTCAATTATTTACTGCTTAAATAAAGAATTGAAAATTACATAAAACTAAAACCATGAAAATGTTGCCAGGGTCATAATAATGCTTGCATCAGAAATTATGAAATGTCACGCACGACCGTTTGTCGAGCTATAAATGCTGGCACAGACTCCGTCAGTAGAAGTGAATGTTAAGATAGAACCTTTTTAAATGATGAAATCTTTTTTTTTATTTATATTGTTGGAATAATTTTATTTTATTTTATTCTGATATCGATAAATATTTTTTCTTGCATCAAATATTTACGTTTATGCAACTAACCAGTGTGCTCCCTGTGCTTATCACCTTTAATCTTAGTGGATGATTTATTTCCAAGATTATATGCTTCTAATCGGACATAATGCTGAGGCATATTTTATGCTGTTTGATAGATACATCCTTATATCTTTCATTAATGGTAATTAGCATGGGATATAGGTTACTAAAAGTATATTTGCAATATTATCATTCGTTCAGTGGTTGGAGGAGGGAGATAATTCATAATGAGCTGCAGGCCATCATGAAGTCTGTGGTGCTACACGTCGGATGCAACCAGAATTATGAGAAGTTTTGGGGGTATTTGTAGTAGTAACAATACATTTATTGTCTTTTTATAGACGTATGATTGGTGTTACTTGACCTGCCTGTCATTTCTTAAATTATTCAACGTAGCTTGTGGCTTTTTCCGTGTAGGATGTTTTATGTAAATTTGAGTTTCTTTTGATTTGCGTTTGTAGTTCCTCTTTGTTATTATTCTTTCAAATACTTTCTCAAGATTCTTATATAATATTTTTCTTGGATTTTGTTTCCATGATTACGTAGTGTTGAGGAACTTAAGCTAGTGAGAGGTAACTTTATGCAAGTTTTTTCGCTCCATGCTTCTTGTTTCTTATTTACTTATGTTCCAATATGTTGCTTTATAGGTCATATTGCAGCGCAACAGAAGACTGCATTACCGTAATAATGGGATTTCTCTATCATTTAAGGTGATGGTGGTGGATGACTGAGTGGCCATCAGCCGTACTACTACAGTTTTGTGATGGTGGCGATGCAATTGTACAAGTTCAAATTGTGTTGAGGAATAAAGTCATGGAAATAGATGGCAACTAGAAGGTATTGTGCTGGGTTGGATTAAGAAGGTTGTGCTGCGACAAATGTGGTGCAACCCAAATTATGAGAATTTTTAACAGGATCACATATAGCTGATGACGGTGAGATCTAGATGGCAGTTAGATGGAAAGTTTCTGCCGCTCTGGTCCCACGTTGATTAGGGTAAGCAGTCAGAATGCCTCTATATTTGTAAAGATTATATTCTAGAGTTGATTGGTAGTGTTTGATGGGGTCTATCAAGTCTTTTTAAGATTTATTATTATTATTATTATTGTAAGTTTTCTTACACATTTCTCAACTTGGTTTAAATTTTTCATGTATTTATTCTTCCTCAATATAGGATTTTTAATGTCTTTTTAGAAAGATTTTTCCCCAATAGAATTGAGAGCCATATTTGACCATGTTAAGGCTGTCATGAAAAGCGAATCTTCACACAAAAGCGTTGTTTATCTAATACTTAGTTTGATACTTACATTTATAATAGTTAGATATAAACAACTATACTCTTGGTTTTATTTCACTTTTAGAGGTTTAGCGCCAGTGATTTTTTTTTGGGATGTTGCAAGTTTTGAGTGCTGTATATATAAATATAATAGTTCTATTGCTAGATATATAAATATATAAAGATTGTAAAATATAGAGGCAGATTCCCCCTTTTTTACTAGCCAGTTTGCATAAATAAATCTTCATAATTTCAGTAAAAAATAAATTCATTTTCTGGCACCATAAAGCTTAAAAGCATGTCCATTCATTTTAAAACATTCAATTATATACATCATCTAGCTGAATATTCTTAAAAGAGCTATTTATCTGACAAACAAATTTCAGTTCAATGAGCAACTCTACCACAGCTAAAAATAATGGCCAAAACTGTCGCTAAAATTAATAACATTATCAATATGTCACCATCTTGCTATTACTATTATTAAAATGTAAATATTGATTTCTCATACTTACCAGGCAATTTTTTTTTAGAAAAGACAATTAAGCCCACCCTACACATTTCAAATGAAGACAATTGACATTCCAAACTTTCAGTAAAGCGCCAAATCCTTTAATTCAAACAAATTAAACATTAGCAGATTGCATCACAGATAAAAAGATTATCCCTTCCAGCCCACAGCCTAAATACAGAGAGATTAAATACAGAAATCTGATTTCTTCAAGATGTCACAAAATCTGGAACTTTAATCTGAAAAATATCGAACTGTAGATCAGATGAGGTTTCACTTGAGACACAAAAGCTTCCTCCCGCATAATATGTTCCTGCAGTTCCAACATGGGAAATGATATTGAGGATAACTTGAGTTTCCAAGAAAAAGTAGGATGATTTTATTTTATTTTTTTTTAAATCATCAATTCATATCTTAGTTATGAATAAGAAAAAAAATATCAACAGCAGTAACAATAATCCTACTGGATGCTGATGGCTATCACCAATGTCAGGTTCATAGAGGGTTTGATGTGCACAACCTGTATTGTAGATATTTTTTTACAAATTGAACTCATAATGTCCCTTTAATACTAGAGAGCATATTAGAAAGCTTAATAAAGGTAATCTAATCATTGCTCCTTTTTTTTTCCTTTAATAGAGATGTCCTCACTTATCATGCCATGCATATGAAGTTACTGGTTTGACAAGGTAATATACAACTACCCAATAAATTTAGCCAAATCTTTAATTCAATGATAAAAGATGAACCTATGCACAATATTTTAGAAAGCATTTCTTGGGCTCGCCTTAAGGCTGGTTAGTTTGGTGGAATCAACTAAGGCATTCAACCTATGAGTATTGCACCTCACAACTTGAAGTGTTACCCTAGGCACTCATGGCACACACCTTTTGCATTCAATTAGTTGGGCAATAACTCTTATGTTTAAGAAGTTGGAACATGGTCCACCGCTCATTATCGTTAGCTAACTCTCTTTTTATCTTCTTTGATCTTCTTAATGCACATCTCCCTTCCAAATTCATATCAATTCCCACACTATCATAAAAATCTTATCTATTTAAGAAAGTAAATGACTTGGCGAAAAGGCCAAGGAGATTGATAGCTTAGGTTTTAAATTTTAGTATTCATGCAAAAGTCGCACTAGAAATGGAGTAATTATTAAAAAAGAGTTTGAAAGACAATGTTATAAAAATTAATTAAATTGGAGATAGAATTATAACCCTTAAGATTGTTGTTGATACCAAGACTTTTAATATTATAAGTGTTTATGCTCCTCAAGTCGGTTTAGATAGTGGTTCTAAAGAAAAATTCAAGAATGACCTAAAAGACGTAAAATTATTTTTATGAGTAAACGTCAAGATTTCAAGATTTGGGAAGTTCATAAAGAAGCAAATTCTATGTGGAATAAAGTAACAAACCTTATTAAACAAGTAGCAAAAGATATACTAGGAGAATAAATAAAAATAAATGGTGGTGGAATAATAATGTCCAAAAAAAGATAAATTATAAAAAGTTGTGTTATAAAAATTGATTTATATCTAAAGCTTAGAAAACTAGAAAAAATATATAATGAACCGTAGAGAGTCTAAGGAAATAATCTGTGATGCTAAAAATTCTGCGTTGGTGATATTTATAATAGATTAGATACTAAAGATGATGAAAAATATATTATGTATAAACTAGCCAAAGAAAAAACAAAAAAGTAAAGATTTAACTTAGTAATGTGTATTAAAGATGAAAATAAAAAAAATATATATATTATGTATAAACTAGCCAAACAAAAAGCAAAAAAATAAAGATTTAACTTAGTAATGTGTATTAAGGATGAAAATAAAAAAAAAATATATATTATGCATAAACTAGCCAAACAAAAAGCAAAAAAGTAAAGATTCAAAAAAGTAAAGATTTAACTTAATAAACTAGCCAAACAAAAAGCAAAAAAGTAAAGATTTAACTTAGTAATGTGTATTAAAGATGAAAATAAAAAAAATATTTTTCTTAGAAAAAGATATTCAACATAGGTGGGTGAGTTATTTTGATAAATTTTTTAATGAAGTTTCTGAAAATACGATTCACTTTAGTAATCTTAATATCGTTAATAACAATAAAATAATTCATTTTTACCGTAGTATTAGTAAAAAAAAAAGTTGAAGATGCTCTAAAGAAAACCAAGGGTGGAAAGTCTGTGGGACTTGATGATATCCCAATTGAAGTGATGATATCCCAATTGAAGTACAATTGAAGTATAGAAATATTTAGAAGATTTGAGAGTTTCTTGGCTTACTAAACTTTTTAATATTATTTTAAAAACTAAAAATATGCCTGAAGAGTGGAGGAAGATTAGTTTGGTCTCGGTTTTTAAGAATAAAGGGTGAGGTTTTTAAGAATAAAGGGGATGCACAAGAGTGCAAATTATAGAGAAATTAAGTTGATGTGTCATACTTTAAAATTATGGAAAAAGGTAATTGAACATAAGTTGCGACGTATTATAAAGATTTCCCATAATCGATTTGAATGTAGGTCAGACATGTCTACTATGGAAGCTATACATTTATTAAGAGGTTTGATGGAGAAGTACAGAGAGGGAGAAGTACGGTTTGATGGAGAAGTACAGAGAGAGTAAGGAGGATTTACATATGATTTTTATTGATTTAGAAAAAGCTTACCATAAGGTTCCAAGAGATATCTTTTGGAAAGTTCTAAAGAAGAAAGGTATTGATATGAATTATATTCAAATCATTAAAGATATGTATACTAGAGTTGTAAAGATATGTATTAAAGATATGTATACTAGAGTTGTTACTTGAGTTCAAACAGAAGAAGGATTGACCAAATATTTTCCTTTTTCCGTTGGATTGCATCAGGGATCGACTTTAGGTTTGCTTTAGTTATGGATGCTCTTACTAGACATTTATAGAAGGATGTACCTCGATGTATGCTTTTTACTGGTGATATCCTTCTTGTGGATACTAGAGAAAGAGCACAAGAAAAACTTGAATTATGAAGGTGTACATTGGAGTCTAAAGGCCTTCGTTTGAATAGAACTAAAACTGAATACATGGAATGTAATTTTAGTAGTAGTAGCTCTAGTGATAGAGTTGTAACTATGGGTGATCGAATCATTAAAAGGTGTGAACGCTTTAGATATCTCGGGTCGATTGTTATAGATGGGGATGTTATTAGTAGAATTCAAGTTGGTTGGTTGAAGTGGAGGAATGTTTCAGGCCTATTGTGTAATAGAAAAGTACTGCTTAGACTGAAAGGAAAACTTTATAAAATGGTGTTGAGACCGGCAATGCTCTACGGCGCAGGATGTTGGCTTTTAAAAGAGAAGCATAAAACTAAGTTAAGTGTTACCGAGATGAGAATGCTTAGGTGGATAAGTGGCTTTACACTTAGAGACAAAATGTGGAATGAATATATTCGTGATGGGGTTGGTGTAGCTCCAGTGGCGGACAAAATTAGAAATTCGTCTTAGATGGTTTGGTCACATTAAATGTCGACTATCTGATGATCCGGTAAGGAGAGTAGATGTTTTACAATCGACTTATGTAAGAAAGGCAGAGATAGACCTAGAAAGACTTGAGAATATTGTATAAAAAATAATCTTAATTTATTAGAATTAAATGAAAATATGACTCAATAGGACGCAATAGAGAAAAATGATTCATGTAGCCGACCCCACATGGTTGGATAAAGACTTCTTGTTTTTGTTGGTCTAAATGATGACTTCTCTCTGATTTACACTCCCTCGCGATTCACAGCAAGCCATTGTTAGGTTTCTCATCAAAGTCAATAGTTTTTGGTTGATTTTTGCTACTGGATTTACTTAACACAGCACAAGACAACTCGTGCAACAATTCTGCAATTTATTGGAGCCAATTCAAAGCAACGTCAGTGGGAAATTCAGCCTTCTAGGGAGATGCAACAACAAGAAGCCGCCATCCTGACTACTAGACTGGCTTTAGTTACTCCCAGCCAGAGCTATATTTAGGAAAGAGATATCAATTGCAAGGCAGTGCATGACAACATACGCAAGTGACAACTGAAGCAATCACAGCGAAAGGAAGAATCGGAAATAGCGCCGGAGGAGCTCTTTCCATTGGTAGATGCTACAGAAGCAGAAAACCGAGAGCTGGGTGGCTGGAGAAAGAGCTTCAGATTTTTTATCTTTCATGTAAATTTCAGTGTAGGGTTTCAAGATTATTTATAGGCAATTATGTTGGGAGGCTATTTTAACTTCCCAAAAATTGTGGAAAAACACATTCACGAGATTCGGAAAACAAATTAAACAAAAACACATAAGTAAGAAATCCCATAAAAGAAACAAATTTAACGTGAAATAATTCAAGAACAGAAAATACCGACGAAGCCAAACTACACCAAAGAATTTACTATGCAATGAGAAGGAATGCACATATTACAACACACTCAAATCATGTTTACGATCATGAAACTCACGAACGCTCCTCCACGAGAGAAATTGAAGAAATTCATTAACAACCCGGATACACTGCTTCAAGCAACTTCATTCATGTATTGCCAAGAGAGTCCTCCAAATTTCGCATCAAGGACTTAAATGCCTAAACTGCTCAAACTATTTCTAGCATTGGATAGCCTGTCCTGAACGCCAAGTTTCCAGACGCTCCATGTCTGGAATGTTGAAAACGTGCTCCTAGATGCCACAACCCCTCCTGGGCACTGCCTTTCCACACACTTGGGTCCTTCATAATCATGTATTGTAGTGTAACTCACCCCTGGTCTCAACCTTCCAGAACTCTAATTGAAGCCAATCATAGCGTCCGTTCCTCCAGTGCAATCACCTTAGTCAACATATTTGCAGGATTCTGAGCAGTATGTACATTCTCCAGAAATAAATGAACATCTAGGAGAGAGCGAATGATGTGATACCTTAGTTGAATGTGTTTTGTTATGGCATAAAAAACAACATTCTTAGTTAGATAAATAATACTTATACTATCACTATGAAGTTTTCCATACTTGCTCCTTGACCAGTTCTGTCATAAAGTCTGCAGTCAAATCATTTCCTTGCTAGCCTCAGCGATAGCAATGTATTCAATTTTTGTAATTAAAAGTGTAACAATCTTCTACATCCTGGAAACCCAACTCACTATTGTGTTTCCCAAAGTAAAGGCATACCTTATTTTACTTTTACCATCAATATCCTTTGTCAGATCTGAATTTGTATACCCTTGTAGATTAATTCAGGCACCTCCAAAACAAAGTATCATTTTGATTGTTCCCCTCAAGTATCTAATAATCCATTTCACTGCATCTCAATAATATTTCTTC